TATATATATATATATAATATAATTTATTGTCAAATTGGTTTCCATACAACACCCAGTGCTCATCCCAACAGGTGCCCTCCTCAATGCCCATCACCCACTCTTTTGCCTTTTTCTACTTTCTTTTGACCCCAGCAGAATCTGGTTTCTTCTCAACTCTGCCCTCAAATGATCAACCAAGTCTCATGTCTCTCACAGTTTATCACTGGAACGTCTGTATTAATTAAAAGATATTTCTAAATTAAGTTTAAATTCCTTAACTGATAGAAGTTTTTGAGAAACAAAAGGTTGGTAGATCCTTGGTTGTAATCCTTGGTAGGAGTAGCATACAGTGAATTTCAATATGCAGATCACTTGGGACCTATTTTAGTGAATGAAAAAGTAAAAGATGTTGGGGAGTAGAAATTTCTGCAAAATGCTCCACTGTGTGAGGGAGCCAGATTGTTCAGTGCTGCTAAGTTACTGCAATGCCATAGAGAAGGGTATGAAGCCACACAGTGGAGCGTGCTTTTCTGTGCAAGTGACTTTTCTTCGCTCTTTGTGCAGGCTTTTCAACAGAGCACAGCTGCTTCTCTTACTGGTCCTAGAAGTGGAAATCCTGGCTATATTGTTGGGAAGCCACTTTTGGCCCTAACTGGTGATAAAAGTCACTCTGTATCCTTTTTGGGACTTGAGTAGTCTCTTGCAGAAAAGCTGCAGCTGCTAATCTTTTGGGTTTGCCAATTCTGAGGTCCCCTGATTTTTTTAGGTATTCAGGACTTCCTTTACCAAACCATTAATACCAACCATTAATACATTATATTCTCAAAGTCGTTGCTACCAAAAGCTGAAGGTGTTTGTTTTAAGGAAATAGTTATATACTGGTGTGTGGTTAGACATTTGGGGGAAAATAGTAATTGTCTCTTGTGTTTTTTAACTACTAGAGGGAAAAAACAAATTTGTAACTCGAACAATGTTATGATAATAGTAAAATACAGTGTTAAAGGAATAATAAGAGCATAAATTTTCCAATCTGCCTTCTTTTTCTTCTGTTACACTCTCCTTGACCATCACTTTCCACCTCAGATGACCCTCTTGCAGAGCCAGGGTGATGGAATCTGCTCTGTTAAGAAACATGAAGTGCAATTTGGAGTGAATGCAATATCTGGATGCAAGCTCAGGTAATTCTTTGCTTCCACATCATTTCCCACAATTTTGCCTCTCTCTGTAGGGAATATGTTGATAAGGACAACTTTTATATTTTGAATGACAATGCTAGTTAGGAGTAGTTTTATAATCTATATAATAGTAATATTGCTAAAAGTTTTCTGACAGTCTCTTATACCTATTAATAAGGATTATTTCTTCCAATTTATTTTGTAATATTTAAAAAATTTTTTTAACATTTATTTATTTTTAAGAGACAGAATGTAAGTGGGGGAGGGGCAGAGAGAGAGGGAGACACAGAATCCAAAGCAGGCTCCAGGCTCTGAGCTGTCAGCCCAGAACGGATGTGGCGCTTGAACCCATGAACTGTGAGATCATGACCTGAGCTGAAGTAGGACACTTAACTGAGCCACCCAGGTGCTCCTATAATATTATTTTTAACGTTTGGATCAATATGTTAGCATTGAACTCCAGCCTCCATGGTGTTTCATTTCAGGCTGAAAAAGATGGACTGCAGCCACTTACAGCAGGAAATTTATCAGACTCTTCATGGAAAAACCAGCCCAGAACATGTTGCCATCTTTGGTAACGCTGACCCAGCCCAAAAAAGAGAGTGGACGAGGATTCTCAGCAGGAACTGCAGTGTTTCAGTAAGGAGAGAAATACACGTTCTCACAGAAACTCACTTTCCCCTTTTGTTTGAAAATTGTGGATATTAAAATTAAAACCAGCCCTGTTTCCATAGATGATGTGACCCTCATAGAAGGAAGATAATGCGTTTGTCACAAAAGGAAGACTACAAAAAATCATGCCATTTGAAGTTATTATTTCAGGTTAGGTTTATACCTAACTTACTTTCCTTACTTGGAAAAAAATTTGAAGGTAGAAAATCTAGAGATTGTTCTGTGGTTCAAAATCAACCTTACTTATGGTAAGAGAAAGTATATATTTCAGATATTCTCTTATATTCTTGAATGTTTGATCAACACACATTCTTTGAGGTTGAAATTGTGTTTTCTTTCTGTTACAAAAGTTTACATATTTATATTTAATAAAAATACATTAATAGGTTAAAAATTCAAACCATGTATATAATGGTATTCAATGAAGAGTGAAAACCCCAACACCCCCTTCCCTAGAAGGAAACTCACTTAGCTGTTTCTGTTTGCACTTTTCCTGGTGGCCCACTAGATCAGTGCCAGCAAGTGTGTTTCTGGACTCCAGCTCAAGTGACATAAGTAAATCTGCTATACTATTCTGTCTTCTTCCTCTTTTGCCTAACCCCCTATCTTCTCACTTTAGTCTCAGCTGTACCTTTAATTTTCTTTTCTTTTCTTTTAAAATTTTAAATTGTTGGGGCACCCAAGTGGCTCAGTCAGTTGTCTCTGACTTCGGCTTAGGGCATGATCTCACGGTCTGTGAGTTCAAGCCCCACAATGGGCTCTGTGCTGACAGCGCAGAGCCTGGAGCCTGCTTCAGATTCTGTGTCTCCATCCTGTCTCTCCCCCTCCCCCACTCATGCTCTGTCTCTTTCTCTCTCTCAAAAAAAAATGAATAAGTATTAAAATATATATATTAAAATTTTGTTTATTTTTCTGTATAAATAATACATATACTTGGCTAAAAATTCAAAAAGTACAAAATAAAAATCTGTGTCTCAGACAGCTCTTCCCTTCCACAGAAGCAACTGAAATTACTAGTTTCTTTCCTTCCACAGATACTGCATGCTCACACAAGTATATACTCTTGTACTTTTTTTATCCACATGATATAGCATTGTAGACACTGTCCTACACCTTGCTTTTCTCACTTGATCATAGAGTGTGTTCCATATCAGTACATAATGTGCATCCTCATTCTTTGCACAGTATGGCTGCATAATATTCCATTACATGGACGAACCATAATTTATTTATGCAGAGTTTTTGGTAGACATTGAAGTTGTTTTCAGTCTTTTGCTGTTATACACAATGCAGCATTTTGTATCCTGGTTCAGGCAACATTTCATACATGAGAGAATAAACCTATATGATAACTTCTAGAAGTAGAATTGCTAGATCAAAGGTATGTGCATTTAAAATTTTAATAAATATTATCAATTTATTCCCCATACAGGTTGCACGAATTTACAGTCCCATCATTCATCTGTGACACTGCTTTTTTCCCCCTAACCCTCTTTAATACTATGTCATAAAAAATTTTTAATCTTTTTTCATAAGTGAAAATTAGTATCTCAGTGTAGTTTTATTTTTCTCTCACTGTGAGTAAGGTTGAGTATTTTGATATATGGTTGAACAATTTGTATTTTATTCACTATTATCTATCTATATTACTTGTCCATTTTTATTGAATTACTGTGTTATGGCTTATAGGAAATCTTTGCAAATTTGAGAAATGAACTCTTTTGGTATGATTTGCAGATATTTTTTCCCAGTTTGTCATTTGTCTTTTGACTTTGTTTCTGGTATTTTTTTTTTTATATTGTGAAAGATATCAATTATTTTTTTTATTTAACCTTTCAGTTTTGGTTCAGACTTTGAAATGCCTTTCTCTTTAGAGATTATTTTGAAAGTTCCCTTTTCTCTTCTGCAGCACTATTATGACTTTATTCCTTATATACTTCTTTCCTTTTAAAAAGTCTTGGGGTAAGTAAACACGTATATTTGATCCAGGCTTTGGGCAACTGAAGTCCAATCAAGTTCTTGTAAATCTCCCACAGAGCCCTACAGAGGAAGTGTGGTTTGGGGTGATTGTAGCTGAGAACAGGAAGAGGATGGTTAGTGACAAGGTTCAGATTACACTGGAACTACTCTTTATTATTTTTTTTTTGCCTTAAGCCTACAATTTGTATTTTTAAATCACATTTTTGAAGAACATTTGACAACATAGGAAAGTATTCCTAATGTAGAATAAATGAAAAGAAAGATGTTTTAAAATATTTGGGACAAACACATGAAAGACTCAACATTGTTAGCCATTAAGAAAATGCAAAATTACAACGAGATACCACTTCACGCCCATGAGGATGGCTATTCTTAAAAGAGAGACACTAATGAGTGTTGGCAAGGGTGTGTGGAAACTGCAACCCTCGGACATAATTGATGGGACTGCAAATGATGCAGTCACTTTGGGAAACAGTTTGTTAGTTCCTGAATAAAGTAAGCTTAAATATGGTCTGTCTGTCTCCCCCCATTCCTATATTATTATTGCCAGTGTCTGAGCCTTACTCTAAAAAGGTATGAAGCTAGGAAAGCACAAGGCATATTTGAGGATAGTGCCTTGTGTCTGCTAGGTTATAGTAACCTCCTGATTGATGTCCTCACTTCCGGCAATCCTTCTTACCTCTTGGAATTAATCTTCCTGGAGTTGGACTTCATAATCTAACCCTGAAATGTCTTCCTTTACCTTTCACTGCTCTGGGTACAAATCCTTTGCTTTAGTCAAGTGGTCTGCTCAAGGCCAGTGCCTCCATCATGCCTGGCACATAGAAGACACTCAGTAACTATTATTCAAATTAATCAGTGAATATCCCTCCATGACATCATGTGCTGGTCTAGTTCCACACCTCTTTTTTTTTTTAATTTTTTTTATGTTTATTTTTGAGACAGAAGGAGACAGAGCATGAGTAGGGGAGGGGCAGAGAGAGAGAGGGAGACACGGAATCTGAAACAGGCTCCAGGCTCAGAGCTGTCAGCACAGAGCCTGATGTGGGACTCGAACCCATGAACCGTGAGATCATCACCTGAGCCAAAGTCGGACGCTCAACCGACTGAGCCACCCAGGCACCCCTAGTTCCACACCTCTTTATGTGCCATCTCTCTACCTGAATTTTCCTTTAATCACCATTTCTTCCAGTCACACATTACTCATCCCAGTCCTGTGAAGCCATCCTCAGCCAGAAATGGCTTTTTTTTGGCAGTCCACAGCACTGACTATGCACCGCTACTGAGCACTTCTTATAACCCTTGTACGTGGGTTCACATTTTATTAATCTCTATATTAGTCATTTCCATTTTAGAATATTAATTTTTTTAAGATCAAGGACAATAGTATGGTCTATTGTGAACTTTTGTGTTCTTTCTCTAAGTCCTATTACCTCCTTTGTTGTGTATAATTTTTAAGAAACAATGGCTCCTTAATGCATGGTAACTGACTGTAGGCAACCATCAGCAATTCAAGCAGATGCTTCTTTACCCTTCTACAGGCTATGCATTGTACTTCCTGCTGTGTCATACCAGTTTCCTTGGAGATCCAGGTATTGTGGGCATATACAGGCCTCCAGTCCAACCCACAAGCTCATGTGTCAGGAGCCCGATTCCTATACCAGTGCCAGTCTATAAAGGTAAGTTATGGCTCATAAAGTACTGCTAAGCCTTGAAATGCCTAGATGGTCTTACCAGCTATATGAGAAGCAGGTCACTTTTTAACATTGAGAGCCAATTTATGCTACCAGCCAACATTTGGTTAGAGAGAGCTGATACAACTTTCAAGTCAACCTCCTTGCCTGATTATTGAAATTAGCATGTTGTCATGATAAATAGTGTATATATTTTTCCCCAGTTTGTTTTCTTTTTTAATTTCCTGAACCCAGACTATCTTATAGGTTAATTTCATTGCAATTATCATACCAGTGTGGGGCACCTGGGTGGCTCAGTTGGTTAAGCATCCAGTTCTTGGTTTCGGCTCAGATCATGATCTCATGGTTTTGTGAGTTCGAGCCCAATGTTGGGCTCTGCACTGGCAGCAAAGAGCCTGCTTAGGTTTCTGTCTCCTCTCTCTTTGACCCTCCGTTACTCATGCTGTCTCTGTCTCAAAATAAATAAACAAACTTTTAAAAAAAATTATCATACCAGTGTTACTATACCAGTTGATTTAACCACAGAGAACATTTTCCATAACTGTGCATTCAGTATGATAGTCACACATTTATCAGAGTCTGTGAGCCTGTTGATTGCTTAAAGAGATATTGCTGTGGCTGGTTTGTAGTAATCAGTTCTTAGTTGATTGCATTCCATTAAGATAAATAATTTTAGTAGTGCAGTAAACATATACCTATTGTTTATGATGTGTGTTAAGCCACTTTAACATCTGCCTTGGTTTTAGTATATAATCCTTAGCTTTAAAATTGCAAAAACAGAGAAATGATTAAGATCTGGTGAACTGATTCACATATAAATTGGCATGCCAGTGTATCAACTTTTAATGATACTTAAAACTAACTGAAATTATTATCTATATGTCATTGCATTTACATCCCAGAAAAGAAATGAACTAGAGACTGCATGTAGGCCAGAAGTAAAATATCTGTAGCTCCTTCTTACGACAGAGTTGAGTACCTTAGCTCTCTATGCCTATAAATGGGGTTAAAACTCAGGTTACCAGAAACTGTTAGTGAAGGCACTCCATTTTTTCTCTGTATTACTGAATAACATAGCACTACTTCTATAAGCTTCATTTAATCAGTTAGAGATCCTGCACTGAACATATGGTTTTGTTTTTCTAAACTGTATTTATTTGCAAGTTTGGGAAGATACCCACAGGACTGTTCTTTTCTCTCTGAATCTCTTGTTCTCCTAGGCATGGAAGCTACCCACTGGCTTATCTCTTATCTAGATATTTTAATCATTATCTTTTTTCTAGTATTTAGTAGAAGTTGGCTTTTTGGGTTAGTTTGCCCCCTCTACAAAATCACACTTTGCAGTCAGTCACATCTAACTGGTCTAATTGGTTGACAATTGAAAACTTCAGTTGTGCTTCATTCATGTATAACTGAAGACAGTATCTCTTCCAGTCATGGTGCAAAAATTAACTGTGTTGAACTTACTGAGAAGTGGTATGGGATATACCAAATCATGTGCCTTTACTTAGGATGATTTAAAGGATTTGCAAAGGGAATTGTGACTATACAAAAATTTTCACCTTAAGGTCTGACTTGAGAAACTTGCCCCTTCCACAGAAGCAACTGAAATTACTAGTCTCTATGTATTTTACAACAACCTACCTTTTAGCACACACATATATAAAAATGAAATATAAAACAATGTCTTTATGCAATGCACAATGTGGTATTGTCTATTCTGTTGTAGTTTATTCTGTTCTTTTTTTTTTTAATGTTTATTTATTTTTTATTATTGAGAGAGACAGAGACAGAATGCGAGTGGGCTAGGGGCAGAGAGAGGGGGAGACTCAGAATCCGAAGCAGGCTCCAGGCTCTGAGCTGTCAGCACAGAGCCCATCACGGGGCTTGAACTCACAAACTGCGAGATCATGACCTGAGGCGCAGTCAGACGCTCAACTGACTGAGCCACCCAGGCGCCCTGTTCTGTTCTTTTCTTAATTCTAGACACTAATGAGTCATAATTTGCAATTTGAAAAACACTTTTAGAAAATACATCTCTGGGGGTGCCTGGGTGGCTCAGTCGGTTGAGCGTCCGACTTCAGCTCGGGTCATGATCTCACAGTCCGTGAGTTCGAGCCCCACGTCAGGCTCTGTGCTGACAGCTCAGAGCCTGGAGCCTGTTTCAGATTCTGTGTCTCCCTCTCTCTCTGACCCTCCCCCGTTCGTGCTCTCTCTCTCTGTCTCAAAAATCAATAAAGGTTAAAAAAAAATTTTTTAAAGAAAAAAAGAAAATACATCTCTGATTACGTTTTAAAGCTAATTGTATTGTTTTATTTACTAATTTATTTTATTCATTATAACTGAAAGTTGGCAGTGTTTTATATCTCAGTCAAATAGCATATGCTAGAATAACTGCCAGTCAAGCTCCCAATCTGTTTTAGTGGTTTTTGTTTTTTTTTTTAATTTTTTTTTTTTCAACGATTTTTTATTTATTTTTGGGACAGAGAGAGACAGAGCATGAACGGGGGAGGGGCAGAGAGAGAGGGAGACACAGAAATCGGAAACAGGCACCAGGCTGTGAGCCATCAGCCCAGAGCCCGACGTGGGGCTCGAACTCACGGACCGCGAGATCGTGACCTGGTTGAAGTCGGACGCTTAACCGACTGCGCCACCCAGGCGCCCCTGTTTTAGTGGTTTTTAATCTTATGGACCCCACTAAGAATCTGTTGAAAGCTATTCACTTACTAGAAAAATGCACAGACATGCAATATTCTTTATATAGTTTCAAGGGATTTATTGATTTCTTGAAGCCAAGCCAAGATCTATACTAGGAAAGGTAAAGAACACTAAATTAAATAAAAATGAAATATACTTGATTTTAGAAACAATTGCTTTAAAGGAAAGGGCTAGGAAGTGGCTGGATTGGGATTTCTCTTACCTATTGAGGTCTTAGAGAATATCACCACCATTGGATCACTGTGACAGTCTGTAAAGTTTCTATCACCGAAGTCTTTCCTTTTCAGGGATCAATCAACCACCATTTGCCTTTATCTCTTAACGAATGATAAGACTATAGAAGCACTTGACCCCTTCCTGTACTTAATAGTCTTTATAGAAGAACCTTACTTAATTGACTGGGTTGTTTTCTTTTTACCTTTTTTTTAAGAACTTTTGAAAGTTATGCTCATTGTTCCATATGTTAAAATGTATACCCACTTGAGGTGTCTCCCTGATACATAATGTTTAACCACATTTATTCTTTAACGTGTTAGTTTTGTTTGACTCATTTGAAAATCTTGATAATTTCACTGACATCTTTAAAATACTGAGGGAATTTAAAATTTTTAATTGGCTTCTCCCTCAAATATATATTTGGCCCCAAAAAACATGGAGAACTAATGTGTACATTATCTAGCAGAGTATTGTACATAAATAATTCATTATTTTTTTTAGAAATTATTTCCTTAACTTCACTTTATTTAAATCATTAGTTCTTCTAAAATCATGTTTTTCTAAATATAATTTATTGTCAAATTGGCTTACGTACAACACCCATTGCTCATCCCAACAAGTGCCCTCCTTAATGCCCATCACCTACTTTCCCCTCTCCCCCACCCCCAAAATCATAATTAATATCAGATACCAGCTAACTTCTTAAAGATCATTTACTTATATGAGGAAAAATTACCTTTACATGGATATTTACAATATGCTTTATAGTTAAATAAGTTCTAATCATCATAATAGAAATCACCATATCTGATTGTGTTAGATTAAAAGAAACTCATGAATAAACAATCAGATACAGTTCATTTTTTTGCATTGGATTCTGATTTGGACAATTGTAAATCACATTTTGTAATAGTTGGGAAACTTGAGTATGGACTACATTTTAGAAAGAAATACTAACAGGAAAAGGTAGAGGTTCTTTTTCTTTTTTTAAAGAAACTTCTAAGCAGCCTGAACAATGTGATTTCACATAGTTAAAAACATATATATGGATCTAGGTATGTATAGGTCAAGATATAAATGTTAATGCTGGTATTCTTAGAGATGGAAATATGGTGTTTTTATTTCTCATTTTTACTTACCAATAGTCTTAACTTTTTATAATTTACTGCTTTTGTAATTAAACTTCCTTTTTTAAAAAAATTTTTTTTTTTCAACTTTTTTTTTTTTATTTTTTTTTTTATTTTTGGGACAGAGAGAGACAGAGCATGAACGGGGGAGG